CCCCCCCCGGTGATGTACAGGCATGGCTAACCGAACTGTGCATCCCGAACTGGTGATTCGAGGAGAAACGCAAAAGTGCACGTTCCTTTCTGAATTTTTGAATGTAGGTGCCTGTGCTACGGCGGTAACGCTCTTTTTACGGCCCGATTCCCTTTTTAGTGTGTATGTGCCTGATCTGTCGCATCTCTGCTCGCTGGGGAAAAGTGGCAGGAAGGCTGGAAGCTGCCGCAGAGGACTGTCCCTCCCTTTCTGTCAGTGTGACCCCTTTTTATCATCTAGTGTTTATTTTCCCACATGCCCTTAGTAGGGATGCACTGAACATAGTGTGGATCATTTACATAAAACTTCAACTTTCAGTTTTTTATTCTCCAACCTTTTTTGTTGTGGGGGGTTTTTTTGTGTGTCAGAGTTGCTTATATTTTTCAGGCAGTGTTGAAAATGTGACATGTCAGTGTACTGGGTATTTTTTACATTGAAGGCTGCTTCTCTTGATTTTTAGGTGATAATATCAGAGAGTTTTTGCTGAGTCTCAGATACTTTCGAATCTTCATTGCCTTGTGGAATGTCTTCATGATGTTCTGCATGATTGTGTAAGTAATGCATCTTGTCATTTGTTTATAGGAAGTCGTATACATTGGGATTTTTCTTGCACGTTTCTTTTCAGATCCCTTTCTCTCCCACTCTGTTCTTCCATTAATCCTTTTCATTTCACTTCTTTATTTCAGTCTTCAAAGAGATGTTGGTTGACCTCAAATTTCTTTGCTAATGTGGGCACCTGTAGTGCATGAAAACCTTCTTTGCCAGCGTGCAAGTCATTTAGCAATCAGTATTCCTTGTCACGGGTTGCTGAGATGAAACATCATTTGGGTCAGCACTTCAGTTTAACTTTTGGGTTTTTTTTCATTTTGGCGCTGAGGGGAACCCACCAAGTAATAGAATGGAATCAGCCTTGAGAATAGTCTCTGGAAAGGACAGGCTTTGGTTCTGATAGGCGGGCTAGCAGGCTGCTTTCCTTTCTCTTTTATGTCCTGATGTAGGGGGAGGCAAAACCGCTGGCCAGATGTGCACTGGTGGTGTGATTTGGAAGGGCGTTGGTGTGACTGTTCACAGTTGTACCCAGTTCTCATCTGCTTTTTTTTTTTCTGTTGCATCCACTAGGTTATTTGGATCTTGAAAATCATCCACAAACATGTCTGTTGACTTGGAAGAGACTTTTGGCTGGAAACATAACTTTTTCTATAAAAGATCATAATGCTTTCAAAATACAGCCCTGGGATTGTGGCCTGTTCTTCGGTGCAAGCTCCTAACACGCTCAAGGGACAGAGTACGTTCAGCCTCGTCAGCTGGTCCCGTAATACACAGTGCACGCTGGGTCGCTTGCTGCCAGGCAGGGCAAGCCTTTCAGTCCCAAGCCAAAAATCTTCAAAGTAAAATTATTTCAACTTTACTGAAATAAAGAGAACTTTAAAATGTTTTGCTAGGCTTAGAGTGCGGTACCTAGTATGCAGGGTAGAATTGGAGCATGACTGAAGACCACAATCTTAAAACTCTGCGTTGTTAGTCACTCCCAGCTTGTGATGCGTCTGCTGCTCTCGCCGTTGTTGGGTCCTTGGAAGTCGCACTTCTCGATTCTCCTTTTTATACAGTTGAGCAAAGCATTGGTGGATCTTCTCACTACTCCATTTAGTTTTGTTGGAGAAATAGAATGGGATGATTAAAAAAACGGGGTTTATGCTTTCTATTTTTCCAACAAAATGCTTTCTAAATTAAAATTTCAAAGATAAGATTTTTTTTTTCTAAGCAATAGGTAAGGGATTTTTGAATAGGAAAAATAGCAAAAATAATTCTATAAGTCAATGCCAAGCAGTAGTTTTGGAATAATCTTGGATTTGGTTGAATAAAGTTGTTCTATTTAAGGGTAAAATGTATATTTGATGCCGTGTTCGTTCTGTTACAGGAGAAATCAATTCAGTATTGGTGTGTTTTGAGAAATTTTAACTAGTCTTGTGATTGTGTCTGGCTTCTTGTGTTATTTTTTTTTTATTCATGTGACGTTATCCTCTCTGACCAGCAACTTTTCCCCAGCATCACCAAGATCATTTAAAAGAGTGTGCAGTGCTGGGTATCTCTTCAATCAAACTGAACTGTTAGTGGAACTTCCTTGGCCTCAATTTCTTTAGCTGCGTGACTGTTGACGAGGAGAGAGAGGGTCCTCATTTACATGATTCTAAGGATCAGGTTTAAGTGAATACCTTGAATTTTATCTGGATGCAGTCGTGTAGTCAGATGCAGTGGCTCTTGCAGTGATTTACTCCAGTAGCCCTCTTCTGCGTTACCTGAAGTTTTCATGTTAATGAAACATGAAAGGGGAGGGGTAGTTCTGTTCTTTGGAGGGAAGATGCATTGCTGTAATGAGCATAGGAAAGGATCCTTCGAGCGTGGTTTGAACTGTCCAGAAATACTTACAATCCTAGGTTAAATTTAAACATATTCCTTGTCTTGTCTGTATTTTATATTTTAACCTTTTTCTAATCCTTTTGTATGAGGCAAAAAAAAGTAGCACACTGCTTTGTCACGGCATCCAAACAAAATCCAGTGCTTTATATAGTTCTTGGAAGACATTTTCTCCCTAATCTTCGTGAAACCCAGTCTTGCCCTGCTTTGTACAGGGGAAGGTGGAAGGGGCCGTCACCCTGTGCACAACCTGTGAGAAGCCCCCGGACTCAGCACTGCAGCACACGGGCTCAGTTTTGGACTCAGGGGTTTAATTCTTACTTGGAAAAATGGTTGAAGCTGTGCAGAATTGACGGTCTGCTCTCCGAGAATGCTCTGAATACAGGAAATAGAGGATGATCAAGCTCTACTGGCAAAGGAAAAGGGACAATTTTATAACTCTAAATAGATCATGTGGTTTAATAGCGTGCTGTCACCTCAAGATTTCAGTTGTCCAAAAGAATAAAAGTTGTCATTCAGCTCCTAAGTAGGCACTTGAAAAAATAATCAGTTAACTTTAAGGTACTCTTAAACGCTCTGGGAAGTTTAAGCGCTGGGCTGGTCGCTTACCTGGTGTGGTGCAGGCTGCCCTTGGCTGTACGTTCGTTGTTGTACAGCTGCTTGTGTACCGAGTCCGGTTTTGTATTCTAAGCTTGTGAAAAGGCTGACCGGCCGTGCGTGTGCTTTCCTCCAAGTCGGGAGACGAGAGGAGTGAGAAGGTAAATGCATCTGTGTAAAGACCTGTTTGTTCAGTTCTTGTAGGGGTAGCTCTTCCCGGATAAGGGCTGGGTGTTTCTATTGCCGCCTCACCCGTTAGTCTGAAAATAATGAAAATAGGAAGTTTTGGCGCTTGGTAAAAACTTCTAGTCATAATGATTTTTCCATGAACGTGTCAGACTTCACGACTACCAGGACCACAGGCTCCTGCGAGCCTGGAAGAAGGCACATACCATTGCGTTAGCTCTGCAGCATCCGAGTCGCGATGGTTTATTTCCGATATTTATTCACTTAAAACCCTCTCTCCCCACGAGGCTCGGTCCCGCCGCCCGTCGGGGGCCCCCTCCTCC